TATGTTTCCAAGAAGTTCGTCCTTTATCATGGTATCTGGTGGGTGAATATGAGACAGGTGGTTTGCTTGGTGGAGGGAACATGGGACCGAGACTCGGAATGCCAGAGTTCGGTTTCCAGCCTTGCCACGGAATAGCTGTGTGGGCTGAGCCGATGGTTTACCCTCCAAATTAATTTCTTCGTCTGTAAAACAGGAGTGATCACAGCCCAGAGAGCACTTTCTGTTACACCATCCATTGAACACTTACCACCGTGGGAACACTAGGCATTGAGCCATATAACTTCCCTCACAATAGCCCTACGAATTATAGGTGCCCTTTTTATCTTTATATAATAAGTGAGGAAAGCGAAGCCCAGAAAGTTTTGAGTAACTTGCCCAGAATTACACAGCAAATGAGTGACAAACAAATGTTAGGGGTTACTAAGATTTTCCTCAGATCGAGATATGAGGAAGGAGGAGTCAGCCCAGTCGTCCTCAGCTTAGCGTGAGGAGGCGTGGGCTGGGGGGCAGGCTCAGAACTCTTGGTCTCCTACCCCGTTCTTCCTCTGTCCTCCCCACATATGTCCTGATTTTTATTCCTTTTGCTTCTTTCAAATGCATTTCCTTCTTTCTCTTTCCACTGACACTGCTCTCCTCCAAACCTATCTCACTTTGTATCTTGTTATGTGCTGTCGAGTCGGCCCCAACTCATAGCACCCTCTCCTTGGGTTTCCGAGGCAGTATCACTACGGAAGTAGATTGCCCCATCTTCCTTCCGAGGAGTGGCTGGTGGCTGGTGGGTTTGAACCGCCAGCCTTCTGGCTAGCAGTCAAGTGCCTTAGGCACTATGCTAGCAGAGCTCCCCACTTTATATATATATAATGTGTTAAAATGGTGCATCCGTTTGATTAGCCCACTACAATCCTCTAATCCTTTTCCCTTTCCTGTTGCAGTAACTCTTGGTCTCCTGGTTCTAGCAATTCCCAAGCCAGTCCGTTTTCCAGTTGTCTGCTGGCTTCCTTTAGAGTGGAACTGCTCTGTTCAAACCTTCTGCAACTCCTCCTCACTGTATGTTGAAGTGGAGGCCACATTCTTTGACTGGAGCCTTGGGATACTTAGGTTGTAAGTGCAGATAACCAACACAAACGAGTGTAAGGAACCAGGCAAACCCAGGGCAAGTGAGTCCTGGCTCAGTCCAGCGGCTCGGGCCATCATCAGGGCCTGGCTGTTCTGACAGCCACTTCCATCTGATGAACGCAAGAGCCCCAAGCAGCTCAGGACTCACATCTCACTGAGTGAGCTCCCTAACAGAAAGATGGTGTCTTTTCCCTTACCTCTGACTTACATCATGGGCCCATCCAATACTGTCACTGTGGCCAGGAATGAGCCTGGTCAGTCAGGCAAGCCACAGACGTCCACATTTCCCACTCAAACCGTCTCCAGACGTCCACATTTCCCACTCAAACCGTCTCCAGACGTCCACATTTCCCACTCAAACCGTCTCCGGCCTGGCTCTGATTCTGCTGTCCAATGTTATCCTAGCTCCAGGCCTCCCTCTCTGTTTTCATTCCTCACCGTCCCCCTGACCTGCCCACCTTGTGCTTCAACAACCCTGCTGTGGTTATGATGGTCTCCCCTGACGTTCCGCCCACCATCTCTCCATTTACCAAAATTACACCAATTTGTGAAGGCCCAGATAAATTCTTTTCTATCTTGCCAACTGTTATCCTGCCACTGGGAAACGGTCACTTCCTCCCTTTTTCATCTAGAGTTTGTGTCAAGCCTCCATCCATCTGCCTTTCTCTGTTGTTCCTCACCATCTTCATCAGTGCTCTAACTCCATGCCTTTCTATAGATTTTAACACAAAAAGCACTTCCACACATGCCATTCTGTTCACTCTTACACAGAAGCCCTAGCAGAGGAGATGCTTCAGTTCCATTTTCACAGCTCAGCATTTCCTGAGCACCCAGCACGCACCAGGCCTTGTGCTAGATGCTGAAGTTAGAAACGTTAACAGGATCATCTGCAGGAGCTTTATTACCCCGTTTTACAGATGAGGACTTTGAGATCTGACAAATAAATAGCCAGGTGTCCTACTGTCTTTTTAAGATCCTGGAACATACCAAGCTCTTTGCAGATGGTGTTTCCTTGACCTGGAACTTTGTTGTGATTCTTCACTTGACCAAACTCTACTCATCTTCCGGATTAACTCCATTGTCACTGTTCCAGGGAGGCGTCTACTGACCATCCTCTCCCTGCAAATCTCAGAAGGCCTCTCTTCCTAGTTTTTCTCATAGACCTCCTTTGTTTTTCTTTATAGCACTTGGAATCAAACCAAACCCACTGCCATAGAGTTGATTCTGATTCAACAACTATAGGATAAAGTAGAAATGCCCCATAGGGTTTCCAAGGCTGTAGATCTTTATGGAAGCAGACTGCCACATCTTTCTCCTGCAGAGCGGCTGGTGAGTTCCAGCTACCAATCTGTTGGTTAACAGCCAAATGCTTTAACCACTGTACCACCAGAGCTCCTTAGCCCATGACCAGCCTACCGTTTACAAAATCATGATCACAGAGGCAAAGACCCTTGGACCTTGCTCTATTTGTGGGCTCCTACGACATTAACAGGAGCTCTGGTAGCATAGTGCCTAAGGCCCTTGACTGCTCACCAGAAGGCTGGCGGTTCAAACCCACCAGCCACTCCTCGGAAGGAAGGTTGGGCAATCCTACTTCCGTAGTGATACTGCCTCGGAAACCCAAGGAGGGGTCGCTATGAGTCGGGGCCGACTCGACGGCAAATAACAACAACAACAACAACGACATTAACAGTGCTCCTTGGGAGTGAGGATGGCGAGATGTGTCTCATGTACTTTGGTGATGTTATCAGGAGGGACCAACCCTGAAGGAAGGCTCTGTGCTTGGTAAAGTCAGGAGATGGAAAAAGGGGGAGAGGTGGATTGACAATAGTGGCTGCAGCAAGGCTCAAGCGTAGCAATGATCATGAGAGTGTTGCAGGACCAGGCAGTGTTTTCTTCTGTTGTACAGAGGGTGTCTGTCTATGAGTCAGAACCAACTTGATGGCGCCTAACCGCATGACGTTACCAAAGGAGCCTACAAACACAGCAAGGAGGCCACATGTTCTGACCTCCTCTAGTCTCACAAGGGGAAGACAGGGTTACCAGCAGTAACCCCAGGCCTATTACTGCCAGGCCAGACATGCTGCCTCCCTCCAGTCCTTTCTCCAACCATTCTTCCCAAAGCACCCACCACCTCTCTCCTGGGTTCGATAATTCGCTGCAGTGGCCACACAGAACTCACGGATTATGGGGTTTATTAGGGAAGCACCAGGTTACAACTCAAGTTCAGGAAGAACGCTCAGTCTCTCTCCCAGCAGTGCTGGTCCCTCGGTGTCTCACTCAGCAATGCGTGTCTCTTGCGTCTCTTTCCCAGCAGCAAGTGTCTCTTTCTGGGGTGCGTGTCTCTTTCTGCAGCACGTCTTCCTCAACCAGCAGTCAGAGAGAGTTCTGCCTCCAGGAGGCCTCCTTTTGAGCCTGGAAGGGTGGTCAAACTAGCCAATCACAGCATCAGAACTCTAAGCACGTGAGAGAGAGTGGGAACCTCCCAGAACATTGTATTGTGCCACGCCCAACAGAAATACTCCACGTGGATAACATTTACAATCAGGAGCTCCTCAGTTGCTCATTCCACCACTGAGTTTACAATGACTTATGGGTAGAAAAGCCATACAAAGTAATTTACTACACCGCAAGCCCTTGTGGGCACTGGCTAAGTCCTTGCCTGCTAACCGAGAGGTCAGTGATTTAAACCTACTAGCCTCTCCACAAAAGAAGGCTGTGGTCATCTGTTTCTAGCAAGATTTACAGCCTTGGAAACCCTATGGGGCAGTTCTACTCTGTTCTGTAGGGTTGCCATGAGTCAGAATGGACATGATGGCAGCAGGTTTAAGACATTAACTAACACTGTTGATATGTAGGTGTTTAGGATACATAGAGTGGATATGTGCTGGGACGGGTGGAGAGAAGGAATGAGAGACAGATGCGCAGACTAACAAAGTGCCAGGAGAATCCAGAAAAGCAGGGAGAAGCTGATCACTGGTTGGAGGCATGGGCCTGGCAGAACTAACAGTGAAAGCCCTGTGTTAGATAACACTCAGTCTTTCCGTTGCTGTTGCCTCCATTCTGACCTGGCCACCCCGTGTGTGTCTGCACAGAACTGTCTTCTGTAGGGTTTTTAGAGGCCAGTTTTTCAGAAGCAGATTGCCAGACCTTCTGAGATGCCTCTGGGGGGCTCCAGCCTTTCCCTTAGCAGCTGGGCCCATTAACCATTTGTATCACCGAGGGCCTCTTAAATGGAATGGCCATTGTAAATTGGCCATGATAGAGAACTTTGACTTCCTCTCTGATTAGAACCTGAACTAATACCCTAGTCTAAGATTCTTAGAATAAACCTCCATCTTGGGCGGTCTTGAAGAGTTTGCTTTTTTCTTTTCATGTAGCATTGTTTTGGAACATTCACAGTCATTTTTATGATACGTGGAAGCAGCTTTTATTCTCACTAGAACAGGCAACCTGTTACCATAGCAACCCTGAAAGTATTTTGAGGAATTTTCGTACAATGAGTTCTGAAAACTCCCTGTCAACTTTATGTCCTGTTTAGTAGAAATGGACTTTAATATTTAAAATTGTTTACCTTGTGTCTTTATATATACTCTGTTAAACCTACAAACCTTACTATAATTTAATTCCTGAAAATTTGAATCTCTTTTTTCTTATGGGGGGGGTTGGGAAAAATTATGTTGGGGTTATAAATATATTTGACCTATTGATTATTTTAAAATAGCTATGAAATAACTTGATTTTTGTTGTGAGTGCCAAAAAGGTATCTTCCTGTTACCTTCTGTTTGGTTTTGTTTTGTTTTAATTTGGGTTTTGTTTTTCGTTTATGTTTTTTTTCCCAAGAAAATGAGGTGCAATCATAGACTCCCTCTGTGTGTGTGCAGGGCCTGGACAGCTTCAGCGTGAAGCCCAAATTCTTTGCAAGCAGCCAGGAGCTCACAGCATCCTTTCCTGTTCCATATGATCTGCCTCCAGAACTTTATGACAGTAAAGGTGAGACACATAACCATGGGTGTATGTCACAAGACAAGCTGTCAGTCTCCCAGTGGGGCCTGGCTTCTGGAGTGAGCCACCAGAGCCACGCTTCTCAAACTGATTGGTCTCATGACCCCTTTGCAATACAGTTATTGAGGACCACCAAAGTGTTTGTTTACATGGGTGTTTATATTTATTGATATTTGCTATCTTCAAAATGAAAGAGCTCTGGTAGCATAGTGCCTAAGGCACTTGACTGCTAACCAGAAGGCTAGCGGTGCAAACCCACCAGCCACTCCTTGGAAGGAAGGTTGGGCAATCTACTTCCATAGTGATCCCGCCTTGGAAACCTAAGGAGGGGTCACTGTGAGTTGGGTCTGACTCAATGGCACATAACAACAACAACATCTTCTAAATGAAAACCAAGGAATAGTTAAGTATTTATTAATTCGTTATAAAACTGCAATAATAAATCCATTGCATGGTGACATAATCTTTTGACTGTTTTCAAAAAAAAAAAAAGATGTCATTGGTGAAGAAGGTGGCACACTGCTGTACATCTCATTACTGTCATTGCTCATTGCTGTCTGGCTGGATTCCCCAGCCTATTCTTGCATTCAGTACCGTGTGATGTCACATGTCACATAGCCTCTGGAAACACCACTGTACACTTGTGAAAGAGTTAAAGTCAAAGCAACAAATAATGGCTTAGTATTATGGTGAAAATGGTTCTCACCTCACAGACCCATGAAAAGGGAAGTCCCCAGACCACACTTTTCAGTGCTGAATGGGTCCTAACGACTTCCCTGTCCTCACTCACCCTATTCTTATTCCCGTGATGAACCAAACTCAACCCTTTCTGACAGACCAGCTTCTCAGATTGTATTGACACATCTAACAGAGTTAATCCTGTCACGTGTTGTCTGATGTGCCTTCCTGCCTCTTGCACATGACTTTGTGGATCTCAGATTCATTGTGTGGATATGATATTTCAGAGGCATTCTGGCTTCCCTTCTTTCCAAGCCCGTGTGTGTGTGGATGTGGATGTGCGCGCGTGCATATGCATGCATGTTAATTTCAAGGAAATGTGTTATCACTCCACCAAGAAGTACAGAAAATAAAAACACTGCTTAGAACCAGGCCACGTTTACATGCCAGCTCTACAACTTACCAAGTGACCTTTGGCTGTTAATTGCCTCCTCTCTGTCTTAGTGTCTGTATCTGCCAAACGAGGAAAATAGGAGTATCTACCTCACAGTGTTGCTGAAAAAATTAACTGAGATGATGCTTATCAGGTGCTCAATCCAGTGTCCAGCACAGAGATAACATGCAATGATATTTAAATAACAACAAAAACAATTGTTATTTAAAATGTCGGGTCCAGTTCCTGGCACCTAACAGATGAAAGCCAAAAAATAAAGGCTGTTGGCATCGAGTCAGTTCCGATTTATGGCAACCCTGTGTGTCAGACCACTGGGCACCGTAGCATCTTCAGTGGCTTGGCATTGAGTCACTTCCAATTTATGGCGCCCATGTGTGTCAGGGTAGCACTGCGCACCATACTGTCTTCAGTGGCTGATCTTCCACAGCAGATCAGCAGGCCTTTCTTCTGACGTGGCTGTGAGTAGACTTGAACTTCCACCTTTTGTAGGAGCCAAGCATGTTGATCGTTTGCACCAGCCAGGGTCTCCACATAGTAAACAATAGTGTGAGTCCTTTGCCCTGCCCCTTGGTTGGCTGCTGATGACAAAAATTCTAAGGTTTCCACACCTAGGGTCAGTCCCTAAACCTGTCCACCATTGCAAGACCAATGAATGATGACCACTCCTTTCCCCATGTAGCTTTTTGTTCCTTCTGCTCATCTTTTCTCCCTTCCTCTGTTGGTGTTCCTTTTATTAGAACCTGAGTTCTCGTGAATAGACATCGGGAAGGTGGGGGACTTACTGTGATTGCTTTAGGCTGAACCTCCTGCAGTGTGGCTTTGGGCCTGGCCCCCTCCCCTCAGTGGAACCCTCATTTAATCCTGCTCTCCAAAGGACTGTGAAAGCCACACTGGAGAGAGAGGAGACTTTAGTATGCCCCACAGTCCCTTCAGTTCCTTGAAGAAAAAGCATTCCCAAGGGAGGAGCATTGCAGACACAGGAAGGCTCTGTAGCCATGTGATGAAAAGTCTTGTCTTTGGCAGCAAGGAGCAGCCTTTCCAGCATGAAGCTGAGTTGTCTGTTTCTTAGGCATTTCCTTTGAAAGATACAGACGAGAGTGGAGTACGTTTTACTGCTACGGTTTGCTCTTCTGCGCGGCTTCGGTACCATGTGGAATGACACCAGCAACTCAGACATCTCCAACCTTCAAGGGAATCACGTCAACTATATGGAAAGCCATTTGTTACCAAGATTTAGAGAAGTGAGTGGTTATGAACATTGCAAAAGCAGTTCATTTTGAAAAGTGATTTTCAAACCACTGTAGTACATGGCAGATCTTTGTCAGTATTTCTTCAATCAGAAGCATTTACAAACAGATCAGCAAAGGAACACACTGCTGAGAACAAAGTGATAATTCCATACAAGAGGCCACTGGTGTCTAAAAGGTACAGGCTTGAAACCAAGAAATGATAACAAAGACTCAGCTAAACATTAATTCTGCAGGTGGGCTTTGTTTGTGCGGCAGTCGCTTGTGGATTCCTTCACGTCAGTAAAACCTGCAAAAGCTGGAAAACCTGTGTAAGGTGGAAATATGTCAGAGACAGAAAACACAAATATTGTCCACTAAAACAAACAATAGAAAAGTAGTTAGACTGTACCCCATCAACGACGATGGAAAACTTGCAAGACCTGGAAAAACAAGACTGTCCTGCCGAATTCTGGCTCTCACAGGTTTCACTCTTTAAGAAGAGCCTCCTGCATACAGGTACTGGTCTGGGAGCTTGGCATACATTATGTTAGTGAAGAAAACAGAAATCCTTGCCCTCATAGAGCCTGCATTATTTTTCTCCTTGAAAGTTGCATTTAACCAAACCCATTCATTAAAAGAAGTTGTTTTCAAAGAGTAGGTGAAAAGCATCGATAAAGCATAGTCGCTTCTATTTTAATTGAACATAAATTCATTCTGTATGTCACACTTGGCTGTGTGAACACCGAGTATAACACATCCATGTCTCATTTCACCTGAACCCCACACCCAGGCATCACTTCACTCCCTTGTTTGCTTATTTTTATTTTTATTATCCGATATGTATGCTTTGCTACTTACTACTACCTTGTCTCACCATAACATATAAGACAAGGTAATAGGAAATAGTAGTGTCTCTTACTTGGATTTAATATGTTGTATTTCAAGTGTAAGAAATAGCTGAACACATTGTTAGATACTTCTGAGTTGGTTCTGACTCATACCAACCCTGTTTACAATAGAACAACTTTGTAAACCCAATGAGGGTCACTGTGCATTGGAATTGACTTGATGGCAGTGGGGGTTTTTTTGTTTGTTTTCCTGTAACTGCTCAGTTGGTTACATCAGCTCTGCTTCACTTCCAAGGCAGACAGCACCCCGATTCTTGCAGATATGGCTGTGTATGCACGACAGAGCTGTTCTTCAGCAGTGTAGCAAACATTTACCAACTGGCTAGAAAGTCTAAGCTCACCACTTGCTTGGGTGGCAGACAGTGGCTTCTGGAGGGGGTGTCTAGTTCCCTTGGAGAGAAGGCAGTGGGAAGGACCAGAAGGGGTCATAAGTCCTTACCAAGGGCCATTTCTTAGAGGATTGGAGGAAAGGGCTTGTTACCTGGCCTAATAGAACAAGGTGTTTTCCTTAAGTTTGGGCCTCCACAGCACAGAGGATAGGGGCAGTCCTCATTCTCTGTGAGGTGAAGGTGTAGTAATAACTGTAATAGCAGCTCGTGCTTACTAAAACATTATGTGCTGGGCATGATTATGAGCACTTGACATGAATTAATGCATTTAACCCTCATAACCCCATGGCGCAGGTACTGGTAATCCCCAGTTTACAGATAGGGAACCTGAGAACCTCAGGTCAACCCAATCAAGGCCCCACAGGCAGGGTGGCTCCAGCGTCCATCTCTTTACTGTTGCACTGTACACTTTACCTGCCCCAGTGAGGTAAAGGCCAGGATTATAAGGAGGGGTGAGATACACGCACTCATGACCACAGGGAGCGATGGGGTCAAGATACAGAAAGAGAACAAGCACCTGGTTGGCCCCTTTGCTCCCAGCCTTCCTGCCGTCCCCTCAGGTTAGGCCTTCTTGATTGTCACCTCAGCTGGCCTCCTTGGTCCTGATCTCCTCCCACTCAAAGCCCTGTTGGCACTGCTGCCATGCTGATCTGATCGCATCACTCTCCTGCTTGAATCCCTCTAGTAGATGCCAAAGAAGCCGTGGTGGCACAAAGTTGGAGTTCAGACCTACCCAGCAGCTCCCGAGGGAAAGACCTGGTAAACTGCCCTGTAAAGATGACAGCCTAGAAAGCCGTCTGAGGTGTGTCTACCCTATCAGATGGCGTCCCCACAGTACCCAACAACAATGACATTATAGTCCAGAGAAAAGACAGCTTCCCATCCACTGTAGCCTTGGAGCTGAAACTCCAGCTTTGGAATTTGATACAAATGCATGATTGCCAGGCCCAAAGCCAGAACCACTGAAACAGGCTTTGTGGGGGTGGGTCTTGGGAAACTGTACTTTAATAGGCTGCCAGGGACTCTGATGGCAGCCAGGTTCGAGTTGCCATGTAGACCTGGTGAAGCTCAGAATTCAGCCCCACTGGACTGCAAGCTTAGTAAAGACCTCAGCTTTGCCTAGCTTGTCCCCGTTCTCTCCATAAAAACCAGGACCAAGCCAGCTGTCATCACGTTACTTCCAACTCCTGAAAACCCCAGGTGTGTCAGAGTGGGCCTGTACGCCACAGGGTTTTCGAGGACTTTTCTGAAGTAGCTCTCCAGGCCTTTTGTGCAGGGTGCCTTGAGGTAGACACCTCCAGCCTTTCTGTTAACAGCCAAGCATGTTAAC